TCTCTCTCTCTCTCTCTCTCTCTCTCTCTCTCTCTCTCTCTCTCTCTGTACCATCTTTCATATGAGTGCAGGCATATGCATGTCATAAAGTGTGTAGAGATCAGAAGACAACCTTTGAATGTTGGTATTTAATTTTCCACCTTGTTTGAGACAAGTTCTGCTTTTTCCCAGTGCATAGACCAGGACAGCTGACCTGCAAGGTTTTGGAAATTCTGTCTCTACTTCCATTCCTTGTATGTGTACTGGGAATACAAATTTCCTTGTATGTGTACTGGGAGTACAAATGTGTGTGTTACCATGTCCAGTTTTTGTATGGGTTATGAGGAACTGAACACAGGTGTGTTCTTTGAGCTTTTATACATTGATACATCTTTTTAGACCCCAAATATTTTTCCCCAGGTGCAAAAGTGACTTGTTTATGTCAGAAAAACTAGAAAGGTGGAAGAAAAAGGGAAAAAGAATTTTGCCTCAAGTATGATGCTTCATATGAAGTATAACACAAAATAAATCTCAGACTTAGATTAAAATTTAAAACTGTAAAGTTTAGTAAAGAAAAACAACCAACCAACAAGGAGACTTATGGGATCAATTGTTAGACATGCTACCACAACATAACCCACAAGAGAAACAATAGATATATTTGCATCCTTCAAACAAGATTCTCCCACTCCCTTACAGAATGACTCCTGTTAAACAAACAGTAATGAAGATACACTGGAAATGAACTATTGTGTACTACTGCTTGGAGTGTTAATTTGTGCAGCCACCATAGAAACCAATATAGAGGAACATCATCAGCCTAAACATTTAACTACCACACAATTCACTACACTACTGCTGGGTATAAGAGTAAAGAAACTTAAGACAGTATACCACAGAGATAGCTGTGCATTCATGGTTTTTGGTGGTTCTATTCAGAATAGCTATGGCATAGAATCAGTTTAGATACTATTCTAGTTTGCTTTCTTTTGCTGTGATAAATGAATTTCATGACCAGAAGCAACTTGTAGAGGAAAGGGTTTATTTTAGCTTACAGGTTGTAATCCATCACTGAGGGAAGCCAAGTAAAGAACTCAAATCAAGAGGTTAAAGCAGGAACCAACAGAGGCATGCTGCTCACTGGATTGCTGCAAGGCTCATGTTCAGCTACCTTTCTTACAGAGTCAAGGTCATTCTGCCTAGGGATGGTACCACTCATAGTGCACTGCACCCTCCTACATCAGTTAACAATCAGAAAAATGCCTCATAGACATGCTCATGGGCCTATCAGACAGAGAAAATTCTTCAACTGAAGTTCCATTTTCTAGCATATGTCAAGTTGACAATCAAGGTTAGTTGTCACAGGTGCCCATCAATAGGTGAATGGATAAGGAAATGGACACACACAAATGGAGTTTGGTTCAGTCATAAGGAAGAACAAAACTATATTATTTCAATGAAATTAGATGTAACTGGACACCTTCATGTTAAGAGAAATAAGCCAGATTCAGAAACACATATAACATGCTTCTTCTTATATGCCATACCTATATTAGATTTTTTAAAATGCCGTGGAAATAGAAGAAGGCATATTTTGGAAGAAGACCAGAGGGAGAGAGAAGGGAGAAGAAAATGGAGATGTAAGAAGGTCATGGAAAGATGTTTATAAAGTACAGTATATATGGTAAGAAATGTCATAAGAAAATTCATTATTTTTCAATATAAATATATGCTAATAAGAAAGAAAATAAACATAGATTCTCATTAAGAAGAAAAGGCATAGCCACATAAGCCTGCAATCCCAGCTGTGTGAGGGGCAGAGACAGAAAAATGTCAGGGGCTTCTTGCTGCCAGCTTAACTGCAAGTTCGGTGAGAGACTCCATAAGGAAATGAGAAAGTGAAAGAGCAGGGAACCTGCCACCCATCTCTGGTTTCCTGTATGTATTGGGCAGGGACATCTACATACGTGTGCATATACTAAACATCTACTACACACATGCTATACTTCCCACACCCACTCACACATACACATATACATACACAAAGTCACATATAGACCAAAATACCCAACTAATGCATAAATACATGAATAGATGTTGGAATAATTTAAGAAATGGATGCCTACCCGGCGGTTTGTGAAGGTAGAATAACATTCCTTTATCAGTACTGATTTGATCATGTCTGGATCCATGATAGCCAAAACAGGTTGTCGGCCTTCATAAAACCTGTATTGGCAAAGCAGACAGGATTCAAACAACCAGCTAGATTCTGCTTCTGGTGTGCTCAGAATCCAGATGCTGTCCCAGATGTTATATGATCCATAATCCAAATTGTGCAATGCACGATTGTATGAGTTCCTAGTTCAAGTCAGGAATTTGGACCACATATCACAGGAGTCTCATGAAATGAAGTATAATGTAGCTCACGCAGGGAGGGAAAAACACAAAATAGCTCTACAAAAATCACAGCTAGAAATAAAGGGGAACATTTTTAAAGTCTGGGTGATGTACACATGAATATTGAGCTGAATAGCCAGATACTAGACAGAAAAATCAGGTGAGCCATCCCTGAGCCATCAAGTCTGAGAGAAAAGTAAAAATATGTAATTTTTATCAGAAGAAATCAGTCTGTGAATGTGGTACCTGGAGACACATGAGACCTCTGGTAAGAAAAGCCTCTGAGATCCTTATAATCATACCTTCAACTCAAGAGGCTGTGGGCTACGGTTGTTTTCTAGGCACTGAGATACATGATCATTTCAAGTTAACCAATGGAGGCTTCCAGAACACTTACCCCCATATTTTCCCATATTTTTCATGGCATTGTCTGTCAAACTCCCAAAATCCCTGGCAACAGAAAGAAAATTAAAACATACCATTATTATTATTATTATTATTACATTTATTTACTTGGCGTGTGTGTGTGTGTGTGTGTGTGTGTGTGTGTGTGTGTGTGTGTGTGTGTAGAACAGAGGACCACTTCTGGTAGTCAGTTCTTCTCTCTCACTATGTGGGTTCCAAGGGTCAAACTCAAGTAGTTAGGACTGGTGGAAGACATATCTTTCAACTGAGTCATCCTGTTGCTCCTGACTATTATTTAAGAAGACTGCACTTGTCTCTAATTCGGATTGTCTATATCTAAATAATTTGAATCTCATTAAATCCTGCTAACTATCCACACTGACAATAAGAGGATTGCCCTTATCCCAAGGAGTATAAGTGTGAGGGAGACAGAATATAGGAGATATTTGAAATGGGGGCCTTGTACTCTTTGAGAGTTTCCAGTTTCCACCAACATTGTGCATACATGGCCACTTACTCTTGTCGGTGAATAATAGTGAATACCATGTCTCTCTAAATTGTGTTTGCTTCCCCACATCATCCCTAAATGTTCAAGCTCTCTGAGATATTCTTTTTTTAGGTGGAAGAGGAAACAGAAACTAAGTGAAAGTGAGGGAGTGTCCCAGGAACAGATGTCATTGTGTATTTCCATATTTAGAGTCCTTTTCTTTACCTCATAATCTTTCTCTAGAGCACCAGAGGAATTAGAAACTGGAGCTAACTTGGGACCTCTTTTAATTTAGATAGTGGTTGAGTCCCAGACTTGTTGCTGAGTGAGAAAACAAACAGGGAAAAATGAGAATACAGGTTCCTACTGAATGCAGAAAGATGGAGAAACACCACAACTATGAAACACTGCAAACTATGCATTTCTTTGACTTATTTCCTGTGCTAGTTTGTTTTAATTATCAACTGCACAGAGCCAACAATTTGGGAAGGGTTCTCCAAGATGAGATTGGGCTGTGAAGCCATTGTCTGTGGGGGCTTATCTCAATGGTTAATTGATATACGAGACCCAGCTCAGTATCCCCTTGGCAGGTAGTTCTGGGCTGTATAAGAAGGATATTTAACAGGAGCCTAAGAGAGTCAGGAAACAGTGCTTCTTATGGGTTCTGACTCAGGTTCCTGACCTGACATCTGTCAATGATGAATCACAACCAGTAAGATGAAAGGAAACCTCTCCCTAATTTGCAGTGTTCACAGTTTTGTTTTAAAGATTTATTTGCATTTTATGCATTTGAGTGTTTTACCTGCATGTCCGCATGTGTACTGTGTGCATGCCTTGTGTCTAAGGAGGCCAGAAGAGGATGTCAGATCCCCTGGAATTGGAGTTATAGATGCTGTGAGGTGCCATGTGAGTTCTAGGAACCAAACTCATCTCACCACCTCCTTTGTTCTGAGTGGTTAATCTCAGCAACAGAAAGGAAACTAGAACACTCTTGAAACTGAAAAACAAAATGAAGCAAAACTTTGCCAAGTTTCACTTGTGATGTTTTAAGCTATGGAAACAAAAGTGGCCAGTGAGATGGCTCAGTAGGTAAAGGTACCCGCCACTCAAGCTTATTGACTTCAGTTTGACAGCAGGACCATGAGGTAGAAGAGGATCAAGTCTCACAATGATTCTCTGACTTTCATGTGTACATCACACACCACACACACACACACAGAGAGAACAAAGAAACAAATGTAAATTTTAGAAAAGATTCCAGAGGCATTACTGGCTCTTGCAAGAATGTGTACTGGGAAAAAAAAAAGCAAATTTTCTTTTGAGGCTCACCAATCTGAACAAGTCCTCAACGTGAGAATAGGTGTGACAGAGGTCTGAGCTCATCAGCTGCATGAACCAGAGACTCCAAAGAAAATAATAATAAAATCTGAGAATTTTAACCCATGAGTTGGTCTTCCTAATGGAAGGAACTAAGCCAGTTTTCACAACCATGAGTGGAGCAGGGTGCTCAAGCAACACTTACATTTCGGAATGCAAGAATGTTTCCCACAAAAGGCAATGGTTTGGGTCCAGAAATCCCCAAGTTCTTAAAAGTTCCATGTGTATAGGTTCCGTACCTGTAAAATGGGAGGTCAAGTTCTTAGGGGTTACTACTGTGTGTTATGCAGGCTTACCAGTTACAGAAACAGAAACTAACATTCAGGTTGGAGTGCGGGATAATATACTGCTAACAAAAAACGACAAAAACGTCAATTGCAACAATTACTTTTGATCTTCATTTTTACCCCTACATTTTCTGAGAGACTCCCCAAACACACAAATACAAAACACAAAAAGTAGATCAATTGTTTTGGATTTAAGTCCTAAAGTGAATTATTTACAAATGTCCCTACATGTCACTGTTAATGTGAGATTCCGGTTAGAATACTTCTACATAATTTTATTTGCTTGTGTTATTTAGGGAGACTGAGTGGACAACAGTGGATCTGCCCTTTTAGTGCTCTTCAATGGGGTGCTGAAATCCACAAGCATGTCTGAGAATTCTTTCTTGAGAGGAGAGTAATGTTTTCTGCTTCCTCCTAACTCAGTGGGTTTTAATCTTGCTAATGCTGCGACCCTTTATTCCAGTTCTTTATGCTGTGGTGACTCCCAACCATAAAGTTATTTCATTGCTACTTTGTATCTGTAATTTTGCTACTATTATTACTCTTAATGTAAATATATGATAAGCAGGATATCTGATATGTGACCCCTGTGAAAGGGTCATTTGACCCCAAAGGGGTTGCGACTCACAGGTTGAGAATGACTGTCCTATCCCATACCTGGGTAGAATTTATGTCATCACTGGCCCATTCTCTTCCTTATCCACCTACATCGAAAATTTACATGACTGATGGACAGGCACAGCAGAAACTGCAGAACTGAAGAAAACCAGCTAAGTAAGTTTATTTCAAAGCATACACACAATCTATCCCATGCATTTGCTTGTGTATTATGCTTGCATTTCTGTCACTTAGAAACAGATGAAATCACTTTATACAATCAGTTATCACAAATACTGAGAGCAACAGCCCCACTTTAACTTCTGAAAGAAGACTGCTGGCCATATCTCATAGAAGTTCTAGGATCAAATAGAATGAAATGAAAGCTTTTCAATTAATTGAAAAACATAATAAGATGGGAAAGATATTGCCGCAATATCTTAAATACTTTTCTTCAAAGCATAAAACCATATTTGAGATTCTATTTCTGTTCTATTGTGGAAATTTCTATTTCCTCATTGCTATGATCATTTACCCTTTATTAAAGTTATTCTTTTATTGATTTTTATTGAGCTTCCCTTCCTGCCTCTGCTTCCCTTCCTGCCTCTCCCCTACCCTTCAACACTCTCCCAAGGCTCCCATGCTCCTAATTTACTCAGGAGATCTTGTCTTTTTCTACTTCCCATGTATATTAGATCTATGCATGTCTCTCTTAGTGTCCTCATTGTAGTCTAAATTCTTGGAGATTGTGATTTGTGGGCTGATTTTCTTTGCTTTATGTTTAAAAACCACTTATGAGTGAGTACATGTGATAATTGTCTTTCTGGGTCTGGATTACCTCACTCAAAATAATATTTTCTAGCTCCATCCATTTTCCTGCAAATGTTTTTTTTTCTGCTGTGTAGTAATCCATTGTGTAAATACGCCACATTTTCCTTATCCAATCTTTGGTCGAAGGGCATTTAGGTTTGTTCCAGGTTCTGGCTATGACAAACAATGCTGCTATGAACATAGTTGAGCATATGTCCTTGTGGCACGATTGAGCACAGGGGACAACACTACAGCTCCTGCAGCAGAGGACTCAGGTGAAGATGACACAAAACTCCTCCCATCCCCACAATCCTGAGACATTGAAGAAGAGGCCTCCCATCATGCACTGTCATTTGTGATCTGCCTTTGTTAAACTCTGGTTGGTTAATTTTGGGGAAAAACTGAGACTCAACCAGAGGATACTCTAAGTCTAACTAGGTCATTCTATCATCCTATCCACAGAAAGTAGAGTTCAGTAGAAGAGGAATGCCCATTTATCGCCTTAGAGGACCAACAGCAACATGTTAAGCCTTTGTAGCATCCCACACTTAAGCAGCATCTTCTTCATTTTCTCTTTGGATTTTCCAAACAGGGAGAGGAAAGAATTATCCATTTCACATTCCCAAGTCCTAATCACTGAGGAGAGGAGCCTGTGGAGTTTACTTACAGGTAGAGGAGCACCAGGCTGGTAGCCAGGAGTATCCAGGTTTCCATGGAGAAGTTTGGAATCAGGTCCATTCCTGCTTCTTTAATCAAGTCTCTCTTTTGTGTTTTATTCTCAGATGTCTGTCCTCCACGTTGCAGCACTGAGCCTGATGAACTTCCTTTCCTGCGTAGTTGTGATTCAAAAGGCGAGCCTGCAGTGGTTAAGTTAACAGAAAGGGGTGGGATTGGCCTTGCAGTTAATGAACACACTGCTGTTGTGCCCCACCCACTGTCCTAAAGTCAAGTACACTCTCCACCTCAGTAACTGGCAAAGAATCAAACATGTGTCCACTTGGATGTAAGAATTTGTCTTGTAGAAATATCAGTTTAAATAGAACCTGTGTTATCACTGGATACAAAGGTTATTTCTTCTTATCAGAAACTCAGGTGAAGTTATTGACCTTAATTTCCTGTAGTCTGTCCTCTTGTCCAGGGCTGCTTTTATTTCACAGTACTTGAAATTCAGCCAAATGGACTACACCTACAGGTATTTTTCATTCATTTCCCTCTGCCTACAATATCCTCTGTCTCACAGAAGACGCTTATTCCTTCTTCAAAATCCATTCTTATGAGGGTCACATGGATTGCCCTGGGAAGGGGCAATAGAAGACATCTTTTGGATAAATTTGGGGCTGGGGAAGTAAAAGGAAGCAGATGGGAGGTGACGGCATGAGTGAACAGGATGGTCCAGTTGGGGGAGGGATGAAAGAGATGTTTCCATAGAGGGGGTCATTACAAAGCTAGGGAGAAACCTGATGCTAGGAAAAGTTCCAGGAATGCAGAAGGATGACCCCAGCAAAGACCCCTAGCTATAGTGGAGAGGGTGCCTGAACTGCCCATCCCCTGTAATCAGATGGTTGACTTCTCTAAATGTCATCATAGAACCTCCATCCAGCAACTGATGGAAGTAGATTCAGAGATCTGCATTCAAGCACCAGGTTGAGCTTTGGGAGTCAGTTGAAGAGAGGGAGGAGGGTTTATATAAACAAGGGGTTTAAGATCATGACGGGGAAACCCACAGAGACAGGTGACCTGTGCTAGAGCTCACAGGCTCTAGACTAGAGCTGGGCAGCCCACAGGGCATCAAACTAGGCACTCTGCATGTGAGTGACAGTTTTGTAGCCTTTTCTGTTCATAGGACCCCTGGTAATGGGACCAGGATTTATCCCTGGCACATGAGTTGAATGTTTGAATCCCAATGGCGGGATGTCATGTTCAGCCTTGATACAGGAGGGAAGGAGCTTAATCCTCTCTCAACTGAATGTACCAGGTCTTGTTGACTCACCATGCTAGGTCTTATACTTTCTGAGGTGTGGATGAGGAGTGGGAAGGGCAAGAGGAAGAGAGGGAAGGGGAGCTGTGGTTGGTATGTAAAATGAATAAAAACCACATCTGATAGGATTCTTCCTCACCAACCTAATCAAATTTAGAAATACTCTACTGGATAACCTTTATCATGTCCAGGAAAACATTTATTTTTCTCTCTCCAAGAACATTATTGGTTTCCATATATGTTTCATTATCAAATCATAAGATTCTGTAAGACATAGTTTGATTCTGATTGTCTTTTTTAATTAACCAATTTATTTTTTTAAAAAAACTATTTTTTCTCATTTTATATACCAATCCCAGTCTCCCCTCCTATCTATTCCTCAGAGAGCTAAGGCTTTCAATGATGAGTCAACAAAGTCTAGAACATTGATTTGAGACAGGACCATAGCCCACCCCATTATATTTAGACTGAGAAAGGTATCCCTCCAAAGACAAAGGCTTCCAAAAGGTCAGTACAAACAGTAGGGATAAATCCTGTTCTCACTGCCAGTGGCCCCACAATACCCAGGCATACAACTGTCACCCACGGTCAGAGGCCAATTTTGTTCCATGCTGGTTCCTTCACTGACAGACCAGAGTTGTTGGAATTCCATTAGCTCAGATAATATGTTTCAGTGGGTATTCCTATCATGGTCCTGACCTCTTTGCTTGTATTCTCACTCCTTCTACTCTTCAGCTGGATTTTTGGAGCTCAGCCCGGTACTTTGCTGTGGGTCTCTGCCTAATCTTCCATCAGTCACAGGATGAAGGTTCTATAGTGACATTTAAGATTGTATGACTCTCTTTTATGTCTCTTGTCCCTAGCAGATTGTTAAAAAATGTTGACCTTTAGAAAGTGCAGGTGATGTTGTCTTCCCTGTGTCCATTTACCATGAGTATTTGGTGACCACTTCATGGCTCTGTGTCATAAAACAATAGTGTTTAGTTAGACTCAGTCTTTTTCTTGACATATGCAGGCTGATCTGCCTTGGAGCTGACTGATAGATGCATCAGATAGAGCTAGAGAGATGTCTCAACAGCTTAGAGCACTGTCTGCTCTACCAAAGGACCATGGCTCAATTACCAGCACCCACATGGTGGCTTACAAGCATTTGTAGCTCAAATTTCAGTGGATCCCACTCTCTCTTTTAGTTTTCCTGGTCACTGTACACATGGGATGCAAAGACATAAATGCAGGCAAAACACCCAAACACATAAAGTATAATAATTTTAAAAACCTGTGAGTGTGTGTATAGATGTGGTGTGTGTGTGTGTGTGTGTGTGTGTGCGCGCGCGCATGCATGCGTGCATGTGTGCATTCACAACTGTAGGAGTAAGTTGAGGATTAAACAGATCCCAGGTAGGTAAACAGATAGAGAAGTATATCACAGAAATATGATAAAGATGCAAATAGCAGGCTTCTCTCTCAACCCTTGATTTGAAATAAAGGCTTGGAAGGCTTTACAAAAATTGTACGGTGGGACTCAGATGAATTTACCCAAACCTGTGAGCCTTTTCACTTCCCTTTCTTTGTTTATGCAATCCTAAATTAGAGGAAGAACTTATTTCCAGCCCAACCACAGCCCTTAAAGTCCCCAACTCTCCAGGGGATGCTGGGCTTTAGCTTCCCCTTCTGTTTCCAGGGTTCTTCCTCTATGTATGCCTTGGTATGTGCTTCTTCACCTCCAATAGAAGTAGTTTTCAGCTGTTAACTCCACCCACTGTGCGTGAGATTTCCCCACTGCTACCTGTTATGCTCCCACCTTCATTACCTTTTAATACTTTGTCTGCCAGACAAAACAAACCTGACCCGGAACACTCGATGATGTTAGGAGTGCTTGTGAGTATGGGTATTTGCACAGCACACATGTGTGCCTATGCATGTGATAGATAGCAGACATACTTTGACCAACAGCCCATCTTTTATTAAATTGATTTTTATTGAGCTCTACATTTTTCTCTGCTCCACCCATGCCTCCCCGTTTCAACCCTCTGCCCAGGTCCCCATGCTCCCAATTTACTCAGGAGATCTTGTCTTTTTCTCCTCCCCATGTAGATTAGATCTATGTAAGTCTCTCGTAGTGTCCTCATTGTTGTCTAAGTTCTCTGGTTGTGGTTTGTAGGCTGGTTTTCTTTGCTTTATGCTTAAAAACCACCTATGAGTGAGTGCATGGGATAATTGTCTTTCTGTGTCTGGGTTACCTAACTAAATATTATGTTTTCTAGTTCCACCCATTTTCCTTCAGCATTCAAGATGTCATTATTTTTTTCAGTCCATCTTACATATTGGATCAGTTTCTCTCACTTGAAACCTGAGTTTGCCAATTTGGCTTATATAATTGGCTAACTTGCCCTGCTGATCTCTGGCTCCATCTCCCACACTCTGAAATTACAGGGCCCACTATACCTGCCAGTCTCTGTGTGCAGACAATTGAACTTTGGTCCTTATGCAATCTTGGCAGGCACTTTATCCACTGAATCATATACCCAGTCCCCAAGTTAGCCACATTCTTAACCAATAAATGCAAAGTCTCTGAGTGAATGCACGTGAAAGGACTGAGAAGTGGACCATAAGCACTTTGGCCACCAATCTATGGCAGATGTCACTACATACAGTATGCAAGGATGCCCCAGACACCAAAACAAAATAATACTTGATTTTTTTTAGACATTTCCATTTCATCATCTGGAAAGCGTTCATTTAGCTCCTTGCTGTCTAGTTTTGTGTTAACTCGATACAAAGTCATTTTGGAAGAGGAAACTTCTATTGAGAAAATGTCACCACCAGGTTGGCTTTTGGACAAACCTGAAGTGCATTGTCTTAATCAGTAATTTATATGGGAGGACCTAGACCTTTTTGGGTCAAAATACATCTGGGATGGTAGTTCTTAGTGTTATTAGAAAGCAGGTTGAGCAAGTAAAGAGGAATTGACCAGAAAGCAGTGTTCCTTCATAATCCACACAGTCCGTGCCTCCAAGATACTGCCATGGTTGAGCTCTTGACTTCTTTCAGTGATGGACTATGATATGTGAATTAGAATGGCCTCCATAGGCTCATATGTTTGAATACTTGGCCAGCAGTTGGTGAAACTGTTTGTGAAGGAGTAGGAGACGTCGTCTTATTGAAGGATGTGTGTAACTGAAGGTAGACTTTGAGGTTTCAAAAGCCTATGCCATTCCAGTTGGCTCTCTCTGTCTGTGGTTGTTTTCTCTCCAGGTAAACTCTCAGTTATTGCTCCAGCACCATGCCTGCCTTCCTGCTGCCATGTTTCCTGCCATGATTGTCATGAACTAACCATCTGAAACTGTAAGCAAGCCCCAAATATACTCTCTTTTTTTTACAGGTCAACTTGATCATGGTGTCCTTCATAGCAATAGCAAAGTAACTATGACAATGTATAAAATATTGTCTATAAAGGGAATATGAAATTTAGAATTGTTTTAGCTGGAGTTAGGAATGTGGCTCAGTTTGTAGAATTCATGCTTAACATGCATGAGGCACGGGGTCTGATCCAAGTGTTCCATGATGATGGCTGTATCTCATGTCTAAAATCTCAACAATTGGGGGGTAGGAACAGAAGTAATCGGAGTCTAAGTTCATCTTAGGCTACATAGTAAGTTGACAAACAGCTCAATGGGAGTTATGGAGAATAAGGCTAGGCTCATAGCTCAGTTGGTAAAATGTCTGCCATGCAAGAAAGAGGATGTGAAGCCAGGCTTGGTATTGTGTGACTGTGGCAGCCTCAGGACTAGGGGTGAAAACTGGTAGCTCCCTGAAGTTCACTGGCCTGCCATTCAAGTCTAATCAATGAGTTTCAGGTTGAGTGGGAGATCCTATATCAAAAAAT